CAGGAGACTTGCTTGAGCCCAGGAGTTGGAGGTTGCTGTGAGCATGATGCCATGGCACTCTACCCAGGGGGATAGCTTGAGGCTCCTTCTCAAAAAAAATAAAAAATAAAAAATAAATTAAAAAAAAAAAAGAACTTTACCACTGCCTCAAAACTTAGTTCCTTTTCTAATAGTTTCTTAGTAGGCCCTGAATCTCCACGACACCAACAACCTCTCCTCCCTCAAAATTTATAATACCGGTAAGCCCCCAGATACATTAAGTCCCCAACAACTCCAGGATGAGTTGCAGCTCACTTCTCAAACCCAGTCTATATCTTAGAGCCATGCCCTCAGGGAGTAAGTTTCCTTCCTATAAGAGTAACTGTTAAAGATAGGGTTGCTAATCAAACACAGGATACCGGTCCCATATTTGAAAGTTAAAATACATAGTGAATATTTCTTTTAGTTAAGTATGTCGCACGCAATACTTGGGGCATATTTATACTAAAAAAGTATTTGTTGTGCATCTGAAATACAAATTTAAGTGGTATCCTGGCTGGGCATGGTCGTTCTTATGCCTGTAATGCTAGTAATCTGGGAGGCCAAAGCAGGAGGATCCCTTGAGCTCAGGAGATTGTGACCAGCTTGAGTAAGAGCAAGACCCTGTCTCTACTAAACATAGAAAAACTAGCAGGGCACGATGTCCCAGTTACACAGGAGGCTGAGGCAAGAGGATCATTTGAATCCATAGCACTCTAACCCAGGGGAACAGAGTGTGAGACTCTGTCTTTAAAAAACCCCCCAAAACAAAGAAACAAATTTAAGTGGTATCCTGTAATTTTGTTTGCTAAATCTGGCCACCCTAGGGTTAAGTGAGTTTCTATAGCCATCTCCTGCTAGAGCCATTCTTTCATTTAAAGGGTCAGTCTCTTGCTAAGAACCCCAGATGTGTAGACTGAAACTGTCCTTCTTTAAGATCCTACACCTTCTAGTCAGGAACCTTCTCCAAAAAAAGAGAAGTAGGGATTGGAGAGAGCCCAGACACAAGATGTCACGTAGCTGAGAAGGAGAGGACCTTCTCTATTTCCTTTCTTCCTCCTGCACTTTCTCTAAGCGGCTTAGGGGAGAGTGGAATAGATGCCCACTTGGAGCCAGGGGCAGAAGTATCTGTCATTGGCCCTTGTGGAGGAGCAGAGTAAAAGTGCTGAGCTGCTGATAATCTAACTTTAGGAGGCCAAAAGTCCTCCTCCTTGCCTGGGTCTTGTTACACCGGGTGGGGCATTGGGATATATGTAGTGGGATGGCCAGGAGAGCCTCCTGAAGGAGTTGGCCAGGTTATTTTTAGGCTTTGGGGCTGAATCTAGTATTGCCCTTTTGGCCACCCTTCCCCCTACCCGCTACAGTTTCACCGTCAGGAAGTCCTGCTCAACTGGCACCAAAAGGAGAGAGGGAAGAGAGAGAGAATACAGTTCAGATTGTCAAAATGAAGAAGGGAGGGGGCCGAAATCTCTCTAGTTCTTCAAAGTAAGAGTGGGTTCTGGCTCTGTGCCCGTGGCTCAAGCAGCTAAGGCGCCACTCACATATACCTGAGCTGGTGGGTTCGAATCCAGCCCTGGCCAAGCAAACAACGATGATGGCTGCAACCAAAAAATAGTCAGGCATTGTGGGCGGCACCTGTGGCTCAAAGGAGCAGGGCACCAGCCCCATATGCCAGAGGTGACAGGTTCAAACCCAGCCCTGGCCAAAAACTGCAAAGGAAAAAAAAAAAGAAAAGAAAAAAACATTGTGGCAGGCGCCTGTAGTCCCAGCTGCTTGGGAGGTGAAGTCAGGAGAATTGCTTGAGCCCAGGAGTTGGAGGTTGCTGTGAGCTGTGATGCCACACCACTCTGCCCGGGGCAACAGCTTGAGGCTCTGTTTCAAAAAAAAAAAAAAGAATGGGTTCTTACCAGGCACAGGTGGCTCATGCCTGTAATCTTGGCACTTTGGGAGGCAGAGGGCAGTGTATTGCTTGAGCTCAGGAGTTCAAGACCAGCCTGAGCAAGAGTGAGACCCTGTCTCTATTAAATAAAAAAGATAGCTGGCCGTTGTGGCAGTTGCCTATAGTCCTAGCTACTTGGGAGGCTGAGGCAAGAGGATTGCTCAATCCCAAGAGTTTGAGGTTGCTGTGAGCTATGATGCCAGGACACTCTCTACCCAGGGCAGAGAGTGAGATTATGTCTCAAAAAAAAAAAAAAAAAAAAGACTGGGTTATCCATGACAATTCCATCCTTTCAAATTTTAGCTTTGGCCATCTTTTCTTGGGTAATGGCAGGGAAGAGAACTGTGGAAAATGAGCAGCCTTCACCCTAAGGTATAACTGGAGAAAATGAGGCATGGGGGTCCTACCTCGTAAGTAGAATGTAATTCCTTTGAGTTAGCCTATCTAATCCATCTGCGGAGGGAGGAATCTTCTGGTTGGCCACTGTCTCTGATCACTTCCTCCTTTGCTGTACACACCTACCTCTGTACATTTTCTTCCTCATTGCTAACCTTCTCCTCATTTTGTCCTTTCTTTTCAGGATCACTTCCAGAAGTTCCTTCCTACAGTGGGGGGACAGCTTGGCACAGCTGGTCAGGGATTCTCCTACAGCAAGGGCAGCAACATCAGAGGCCAGGCAGGGGGCAGTGGCTCTGCTGGACAGTATGGCTCTAACCAGCAGCACCATCAGGATTCTAGGTCTGGAGCTGGGGATACAGGCCATCCAGGGGGCCAGGCTGGGAGAGGAGGAGCTGCTGGCACAGCAGGGGTTGGTGAGACAGGATCAGGCAAGTACCTGTACCCCCAAAGTAACACATCTGGTCTATAAAGTAGAGATTTTGGCTCGGCTCCCAAAGCACAGTGCTTACAGCGCCAGCCACATACACAGAAGCTGGTGGGTTTGAATCCGGCCTGGGGCCTGCTAAACAACAATAACAACTGCAACAGAAAATAGCTGGCTGTTGTGGCAGGCACTTGTAGTCCCAGGTACTTGGGAGGCTGAGGCAAGAGAATCACTTAAGCCCAGGAGTTTGAGGTTGCTATGAGCTGTGATGCCACACTCTACAGAGGGTGACAAAGTGAGACTCTGTCTCAAAATAATAATAATGTAGAGATTTCCCCAAGAATGAGGCCTAGGCTTGGTGTGGGGAACAGAGGAGGTTGGCTGAAATATCTTGGTGGACACTCTAAATCAAGGAGGATACAGAGATCTGCATATTTTACCTAGAAGCCTTGTCTTTCAGTCAAATTTTGGCTTTTAAGATTCAGTCCCTGATTTGACCCCAGGTTGTCATTATGCCACAAATAGTTACCAGGATGTTACACCTTTGGTCCCTAGCCCTAGCAACTTCCCTAGTGCAATGATAGGAGATTAACTTTCATTGGCAAATACATGCTATAGCTTGACTTACTTTTCCTTCCTATGGCTACCAGGAGACCAGGCAGGTGGAGAAGGAAAACATATTACCGTGTTCAAGACCTATATTTCTCCATGGGAGCGAGCCATGGGTGTTGACCCTCAGGAAAAAAGGGAACTTGGCATTGACCTACTGGCCTATGGAGCCAAAGCTGAACTCCCCCAATATAAATCTTTCAACAGGTAAGGGTAATTGGAAAGGAAGAGCTACATTCCAGTGTATGACACTGTGCCCTTAGTTAGGATAGACTTTAATTCAAATGTTTCAGAAGGAAACTAAAGAGGCATGTAAAAATATAGGGGCTCTAATCAAGGGCCTTTGCTCTTTTCACACTAGCTCAGCTTCATCATAGCAGTGTGATGAAGGAAAACATTGCGGGGAGGCAAGGTGTGAATTCTAATTCACAGGCCACTTACTAGCTGTGTGGGCTTTGGAAACTCACCCTACTTCTGAGCCTTGGTTGCTTTAAATGTAAAATAGAAATGATACATGTTTGAAGGCTTCTTGAGGCTCCCTTCCATTCAAGGATGTGGTGCCACTACTTTCCTTGTGATATGATTCTATTTCCTATACCCTGCTTTAGAAGGCTTTAAGTACTTGTTCTTTTGGGATTGGGTTTCTCTAGACCATGGGCAGGAGATCTGTGTGAAAGCAGGATGGGGAAGAGCTAGAGAAGTCCTTTTGCAACTGGTCTTAAGGAGCCTGGATTTTCCAGGCAATTTTAATTCCTCTCAGCTAGGCCATCTACTGTCCTCTGGGTTTGGGGGTAGGGATTAGATGGATGGGGGGGGGTCTCTACATTGTAATTTAAGGTGGCCTTAGACTCTTGGATATGTAGCATTTGGGGTCACTTTTTCTGAAATAGGTCACTTTTTCTGAACTAGGTCCCAACTATTCATGAGACCAACTAGATTCCTTTTCTCATTATTAGCTTTGGGGAACAAGCAAACCAGGAAGGCAAAATGGGGTGATAGGGGAAAAGATGAAGAAGTGCAGAAGCAATCTCCAGCCAGAATTCACAGACTTTCCCATTCTCAAAACAGGGTAACATCTCATTGATAAGGCTCTGTTTCTTTTATCCAGATTCTTAATCACAAAATCTGTCCCCTCCTCAGGACGGCAATGCCGTATGGTGGATATGAGAAGGCCTCCAAACGCATGACCTTCCAGATGCCTAAGCTTGACCTGGGGCCCCTGCTGAGTGAACCTCTGCTCCTGTACAGCCAGAACCTCTCCAACAGGCCTTCTTTCAATCGAACCCCTATTCCCTGGCTGAGCTCTGGGGAGCCTGTAGACTACCATGTGGATGTTGGCATCCCCTTAGATGGAGAAACAGAGGAGCTCTGAGCTATTTCCTCCTCTAATTTGCATCAAGTTTCCTCTCTCTGGTTCCAATTTGGAGAGAGAATGCTGAGCAGGATACCCCCACTGTTAATCCAGTGTCCTTGTGGGAATGCAGGAAAAAAGGAGAGAGATATCTGCCTTTCCATCCTTCCTCCAAGTCCCCACTCCAAGCATCCTTCCTTGCCAACTCAGAGCTCCCCTTTCACTTGCTCCATATGGAATCTGCTCTTTTATGGAATTTGCTCTGCCATCAGTAACAGTCAATAAACTTCAAGAAAATGAAGTCATTTTTCCTCTGATAATTGAGGGCAGATGAAAGCTGAGGATGACAATGCACAGAGAATAATTAAAGCCAAATACTAAACATTGATTATTCAAACTTTAAGACCAGACCTGAGGCTCGGCGCCTATAGCTCAACCGGCGAAGGCGCCAGCCACATACACCTAAGGTGGCGGGTTCGAATCCCCA